TAGTAAATTACTTTTAAATGCAATACCCCTCTTTCCTATCATACACAGCATTCTAAACCACTGCAGGTCAATAATCATTTCTACACAGTGGATAAAACATCTTTTTCTTCTTTTCTGGTTCATCCTTTCTCTGAACCTTGACATTTGCAAGAGATCATCTCAAGAGAATCAAAGATCTGTCGAACACTGCTGAGTTGCACGTGGTGTCCTTGGTGTTTTCAGTGAGCAATGGGCATCAGACAATTGAGCAGGCATGCAGGCATGTACTTGTGTCGGGTAGCCTTGATGACTCATGTCTGCAGGGATGCAAAGCAACAGAGTGACTCAAGCCAGTTTGCTTCACTCAAACTGTGAGCCTCAACGTGTGCTGAAATGACGTCAATAAAAAGCATCGCACCTGCAGAGGCTGTCTTCACAGCCAACAGAGACAGAAAAACTTAATTATAGGAAATCCTGCATGAATTGTCTTGACTACAGGCAAATTGCTCTTTACATATTTATGGATGCAGTTTGAAGTGATTTTTGTAGATATAGCAATAGACAAGTAAAGCACTGTCATGCTTTTATGCAACAACTTTGAAGAAGAGAGTTTTTTTTAGGTTCACCCCAAAATAATTATGACTGATGTGTGAGCCAGACTCATTACTGACCAATGCAACTCTGATGACAAGGAGGATCTCATGATAATGAGCATCCTCTTTCTATTGTTGCCAATTTGTCTCTTTTTTCCACAAATACAGACCATATATCAACCAGTTCTTGTTCATTCTGCTCTGCAAAATGAGATCAGGTTTTATGGTTCAGTAGCGTGAAATAGTGTGATGTACAGTGACTTGTCTGAGCAGATCAGAAAGCACAGCATAAACTTCTGTCTGAATATGCTATAGACCTCCATTGTCCAATTAATTCCTATAACCTGGACATTTTGGTGTTCCTACTTATTCTGCTGCAGAAACCATAAAAGCTCTTTTTACAATACTGATAATAAAGGAAATATCTGAAAAGAACGGAAGGCAAGCTGGTCATGCCCTTTTTAAAGCTTGAAAGCACAACTTACAAGTTTGAAACATAAAAGGACTTCACTTACATAAATGTTTTGGTAAATATGACCTAATTCATATGCTAAGTATTTTCTTACTTTCACATTTGCAACCATTAATTGTCTTTGCTATATATTTTTCTTGTTGCAGAAGTACTTTGCACTCCAGCAGCTCCAACCACACTCGTTAACAAAAGTAGCAATTATGTTTTCCAAATACATTAGTGTAGTTCTCATCCTCAAATGCTTTTCTCTTGTAACATTAAAAGTGAAAACATACAGTTTGAAACTACAGAACAGAAGGTAAGCTAAACAGCTAAACAGGTTTATGCTAGAACAAAGAGTCTAATCTTACATTCTTCCCTATCACACTTATTGGACTAACTAGCCCTATGCTGCAGACCAATAGCATTTATTTAAATACATGTATGTGTCTTCTACCTGGATCTTTGTCTGGTGAAGATTGCTATTGTTTGCCTGGGATGATCAACTCTAGCCTCAGTCACCTACCACTATATTATATGTAGTCATGAGGTGCATAAAGAAACTTTTACAATATTCTCATTTTAAAACCAGTCAGCTGAAGACAGTGTTTTCAACCAACTCACTGAGGCTACCTTGAGCTAACTAGCTACAGCTGATAAAATCTCCTGGCGACAATTGTCATTTCAGCAAAAAATTAGAAACCATCTTTTGTCCACCTCTGTGTGAATTCAAGGATCCATTGTTTCAAAGGTTACTAAGAATTTTGAGTTGCGAATTTTTGAGTGGCCGCTGTTGTCATTCTTACTGCATGTGATGTGTGAGACATTTTCCAAATCATCTCTAAATATCACAGTTCAGTTATAACTAATGCCTATAGTAATGTTGACTTTTAATTGATGCACCTAATATGTTTCAGCATAAATTTGAAAATTTAATGTAGGTTATGACCTGTGTAGAGGTACTCTTATAGTGTTTTGCTACACCTACAGAGTAGTGAACTAACCTGTGGGTTGGGGATGACAATGTAGATTTGAAACTAAAAAAGTAAACCTTGGCCACTGTGGCAGTAAATACAACAACACTGGGAAATGATGCAGCAATAGGATGAGAATTATATATCTGCACTCTATGTTGTTTTCCTTGCACTCTAAGTCAGATACACTTAAATGTCTTAGTCCTGGAGGATGATCTATTACTACCATGTTGTTATGGCACATAAATCAGTTGCCAGTGGTTTGTATTGTGCGATTAACAGCTTTGATATCACACAAACAGAATAATTACATGCCAGTGTAATCATGTTAGTACTTTAAGAATATCATTTTCCCGTCCCGAATGGTTGATTACAGCCTTCCACAGATTTTTCAAGAAAGGAATTTACTTTTTCTATTTATCAAGTCTGTTATTAAAAACACTGTGTAGGTTTTAAATTTCTCCTAAAATTTGCTTGTAACTTGTTACTTGATATACAATGCATGGTCTATCCCATACAGTATTATTGTGACTAGGAAACACCAACAGTGGGGACAGGAAGTGATTGTGCCAACAAAGGGAACAATGGGGAGGATAGCCATAGTACTTGCAAAAGTGAACTGTTTGTACCTCAAGCCTGTAAAAATTTACTGTCCCTTGGAGACTACTCAGAGGAAGAAAAGGGGCTGCAGCAATTTAGCTCAAGAGCAGCCACCATGACAACTGATAGATACAGAAATCATTTAAGATTACGTTTTCTCCTGAAACCTGCGAGTGTGGATTGTTGGCAGCATCTCTTTCTTTTGCCAAGGGACACAGTGTTGTTGAGGGAGCTGACAATTAAATCTCTGCTTAATTGGTTAGCTTTGCCTGTTCATCTATTGTACCGATTCTGTTTGGTGACATTTTGAGGTTGCAGTGTCCTATACCAGATGGATGAGGAAGCCAGAAGATAAAATTATACAAGATCCCCTGACTGAACAACACTAAACAATGAAATGCAGTGTTTATTATGTGATGTCCTCAAGTAAAAATGACTAATGTAATATTTCTAATAAAAACAACTGTCAGGAAAATGTTCACATTTTATCTATAGAGATACTATACCATCTGTTCTACATATTGCACTGATATTGCTTTCCCAATATGAGAGTGCCACAATATCTTCATTCTGTTTTATGAGGATCACAAAGAGATTCAATACAACTCGTGCTGCACGATCAGTTCTCAAAATCTCAAAAAATTCTCCTTCCAGATAAAAAGTAAATGGCTCTCTTTTGAACCACAAAAAGTCATTTAAGTTCAACAACTCTCAACTTTTCTCATATCTAATGTCAGTATAGCTACCTACAACAATAATTAATACCATTATGTAATATCTGTGTAAATAATTACCATTATGGTTCAACAACAGGCAATGATGGTTGATCTTCAACCTTGTTTCCACCTAAAGTCTGTGGAGATAAATAAAGTCACATAATGTGACTTTAAAGGGTAACTACAACCTCAAATTCTGCCAGAACTCTCCCTCGCAGCATATTTAAAAATAAGCAGCAAAAGAGTGGGAGAGCAATAACTGTGGGTTGCATGGCCTTGTTGCTACGTATGTGACACGGGGGGGTCAGGGTACACGGGTCACACTGAATGACCACTGCTCAGTGCAGTGTCCACAGCAATGTACAGCACATAGTCAGAGCTAGCAATCCATGAATAGCTAGGCATTTATTAAGACTTCCTTTGAGGGGATCAGTGTTGTACCTGGCTTAGCAGCCCTCCTACAAGAACCCCCCCCCCCCCCGTGTGTGTGTGTCTCTGTGTCTATGGTGGAGTGTCAGTTTGTTGCCATAGCCAAGTTGTTTATTGTGATTAACATTACTCTCTGTCAGCTCTAAATAGCTTGTTAAGCTCTGAATGTAGCTCAGTTATCGGTGGGCCCATGTGTTAAATGCCACTGCAGAAGGGTATATCTTGTTCATGTACGCCAACGCTTACATGAACCAGCTTTTCAACTAGTAGTTATGTGTAAAAGGCACAAACTGGGGCTACAGTTAGCCATTGTTCTGCTTTTTATGCTCGGTGTGGCAACTGCTGCCACAGCTTGGGGGGTCAACATATATAATAGACCTTGGAGTCTTGCCCGTTTTGACCTGTCCTATACCACCGTTAGGAGGGGGCGAGAGAAGTCACCCGAGCCATACATTCAAATCCAAGCAGACACATATAAATCGCCTAATCTTCTGAACACCAATGTACGGGTATTTTCTTTAATGGAAATGCACCCAGTTGTTTATAATAATGTGCATAACTGAACAACGTGTTACTATATCTTTTTGTAAGCAGCACACAGTACGTTAGGACTGGACTCTAACATGAGCAGTATAAGTTACAAAGGCTGAAAAAGTGAAGGACAGGCACAGTCTTAGAAGCTAATAGACATTTCTGAAAAGAAGACAACAGACAGCTTCTCAAGGGCTGATTTTTGGGTTATATGTTACTCCAACATACAGATGGATGTACGAGGGATGAATTGCCTAGAAACATTACAGTTGCCAGCATTAAATCACTCACTCGCACTGCACAGTTGGGTGGGAGACGGGCATGGAGAGACCACTGATCTTAATGACATGAAAGCTTGTTTCTAATGGGCTGATTGGATTTACTATTGATTATGTTTTCAGCGCATGCGGTGACATAGTTTTGTGATTGCTATTGTCGCCCACTGCAAATTGAAGTAGCCAACAGACAAGTAATGGGAACATTAATTTCTCTCGGACGAAAATAAAGATTCCCATTCACTTATCTACACCCATTACATTTAACCTAATTTAGAGAAGTGTGATTGTTTTCTCCCTGATGACAAATAAATTCACCTTTGCATACCAAGTACACACACACACACACACACCCCCACACGTAATGTATTCACAGCAGACTCAATCAATATACTTGGTCATTGATTGAATGCTTTCCATTGTGCCTTCACTGCTTTTAAGTGTAGACTCACTTGTGCATTTTTTGATGCCGGATCCTTTCTTCACAGCGTGCCGACTAAGCTTGCACTGGAAATTATTCTCCCAGAACTCTGCAAACCAGATATTCCTTCTGTTGTTCTCTAATGTGCGGCTGATGAAGTAGCGATCGAAACCTGAAAGAAATAGGTGACAGATACTCTTAGAATTTTATCTCTTCCGTTTTTGCATTTGAATTGGCTCTCTGTGTCAGGGTAAGGTCACCATCCATTTAAACACCTTCATAAGCAAAATTTAAACTCTGTTGCTGATGGTTCAGGTGGATACCTTTGCTGATGATTTCAAATGAGCCAAGGATTTATTGTTTCTGAAAGCCCAGACTAAGATTTACCAGAGCAGAAGCAGCCAAATAAAAAACAAAAAAACTGTGAATCAGTTCAAATGAAGTCACAGTGTCTGAGTATTATTAGGTCTTTGAAAGTAAATGTGAAGGACTCTCATTTCACTGAGCTGACTTTGAATTGTGTATCCATGAGATTTTAAAAGCATTAAAGTGCAAATGCAAAATTGACAAAAGCTGTAGAGGAGCATGCAATTATTTAGTAGCACTGAAATAACATCAGACTCTGTATTTATGTTGTTTTCACATGGCTACATTAAACTGCACTTTTATTATTTCATTTCATTTATTACTATCCATTGACAACTTAATTCACACTTTACCATCATTAATGAATTCTCTCTCTCTCTCTCTCTCTCTCTCTCTCTCTCTCTCTCTCATTGTCTGTCCAAAGGTTCTATTTACAATCATGAAAAACAGCAGGCTAAGAAACTGAGGCGTTCTGTCTGTCTGTCTGTCTGTCTATCGATCTCCCCAATTAACAGTGACAGTTGGTTGGAGTTTGTGTGTGTATGCGTGTTTGTGCTGGTTGGTGTTGCAAGCATCGGTTATACACAGTTATATATTTTAAACTATGGGAGGGTATAATATTCTTTAAATGCTACAAATAATGATAACAATGCCAACTATCGTCGATATTGGCAAAGGCATTAGCTATCAGTGATGGCTCTGATGATTGCCCATCACCAAAATCATCTACCATCGGCACAACCCTAAGCTCTACATATACAAAGATGACATAAGGAAAATACATGATATGGTACATCATTGATTTAATCCGTATGAAAGGAATGAACTGTCAAATCACAACACTTTATGTTCAATGTGGCTGCAAGTGGGAGAAAATACACAATAGAAGGACTTCCCTTTGAAATAATTTATTTTGAATGTAGAAATTACGTATGACTAGTGGAGGCAAACATATGCTAACAATAAGCAGAGAAGTGTCATAAGAATCAAGATAAATTGTTGTTAAAATGAGTTATGAATACCTTTGATGGACTGTCGTTTGGGTAGGATGGTGACAGCCCCTTCTGCCATTTCTTCCTGGTTCAGAATTGGGGAAATTTTGGAGCCCCAGCTGTCTGAACCCACCCAGATGAAATGGCCTGTTTGATTGGCCTTCTTAGCCGCTTGAAGGAGCCGCCTTTGGGAAAGAGAAGGAGAGGGATGTATAATTAGACCATATAATGTTGCATTGTCAGTTTTTTCATTTATTTTCTGATATATTTAATTGCACATACAGTCACATGTCACCTATGAGAGACGGTTCCTACTTAAAGAGGAAGTGTAGCTGGCTGATTCCATGACTAGTATATTCTATTCTGAGTCTGGACAAAGTTGTACTGAGGCACTTTAGTAGACATGAAAAGCCTCCATAGACACTGTAGCCATTCCCAGTGCAGGGGAGTTCTTCCTGGCTGTGGCAGAATGACACCCTCGCCACATTTGTCCAGGCTTGTTGCCAATGGAAGTAAGTTTTGGGAGTCGTAAAAAACTGCCTGCAAGCTCTGCTGTAGCAGCAGAGTTACATCAAGAAAGCTTGAGCACAGCAACATAAAATTTAAACTCATCCACCTGGCATGTGAAGCATTACCGACCCTTATATTACCTCAAAGATGCTAGAGCAAAAAAAAAAAAAAATTAAGCATCATATTGTGCTGTACACACCATCAGCTTTTTTACACGGCAGACACTGCTTTAACGTCTAATATAATAGTTGCATGAAGAAGGACGTTATAACCTTGTAAAATAATTATTACAGGTTTTTGTAAAATGTAGAGTGGGCGAGCAGTGAGTCATCCTACTAACTTTGTCTCTTTACCTTTTTTATCACCCCAAGGATTTATGTTTGATTGGCAATGATTTTTCCCCTGAGTCTGCTCTCCAGAAATTTAGCAAAATGAGCATGTCTTGCAATGTCATGCAATTACATGCTCCATGTAGGTAAAATGAAAGAAATAGATTTTCCCCCTGTCAGGAGATTACATAACAGAGACATGACTAGACAGCCTGACATGTCTGATATAAAAATAACACACTGAAAAGTAAAGGTGTTGTGTCAGGTCGTGGATGGGCGTATACACTTCCCTTCAACTTTGACAACCCAGGTTCAGTTCCCATCTCACATTAAGTTCTTTACTGTGAATAAAATTGTAATTATGTTCCAGTAAAACCTCAGTGTCACCTTTTAAACAAAGTTGATACTTGTTTGTTACTTTGCTACTTACATTACTTGTTTTTTGGCCTCTTTGGTTGTTCACATTTCACATTAATTTCCATCCAGTGTTAATGTAAAAATATTCATCATAGCAGTTTTAAGTGTTACCTAACACTTTATTTTCCTAAACCATTAAAAATTTGAGGTGATGAAAAGGTCAAAATGACATGTTTAATATGTGTTATTGTAAATTAATCTGGTGGAGGAATTAAATGTTATATAAAGGAAGTACAAAACCAACAGTGTTTTAATTAAATGAATTTTATTAGTTTTAATTATTGCCTTTTTTTTTTTTTTGTAGAATTTGTGATCATCTCATTAAATGTTATGAGACCATGTTGTTTTTCCCACCTACCTACCTGGTTATGAAAGGCTGACCCAGAATTATTTTCCAAATTCTTTATAACCGTTATAACAAAATCACTGGTTAAGTATCACATTAAAGGGCTCCATCAAAACTGCTCTGGGCTCTTATACTTTCTATGTAGGCATTTTTGGTTCTTATTAGGCTGCGGCCAGCTCACACTGGCTGGGTTCAAGGATAGAGCAGGCATGCAGTGCTAAAATCCCCCTGGCTTTCTGTAATTACTATATATCCAGACTATTACCCGTTATCAGGACCGGATTAAGTCAATGAGCCCTGGGACTTCTGCCCTGGTCATCGTCAAGAGACCACCCCAAATCACTGCCCACTTCCACTAGGAACACACTGGCCTGCTGACTGGTTGCTGGGAAACATTTTGCCTTACAGAGCCACAACAGTGCTTTGTGTGTTGATGCAGCCTACAGCTGATTCATTCATTCTTAATACACACTATCTGTCTTAGGCTAATATTAGATAATTAATTTTAATTAATACATTTCTGTCCCCACAAGGAAGCAGGGACACTGTTAATCTCACTTTCGTATAGTATGGTCACATTGAAATAGATGGGGTCAGCAGATTAGATGATGAAGCTATTATTCAGATAGAAAGGACTTAAGGGAGTGGACAAAATATTAGAAAAACCTTTCAGTGTAATGCAACGCAATACACTATAACACCATCATAAAATATGGCTTCAAAATAGACCAATCAACCCCTCTCTGACACACCCACAACAAAAAATAACAGTTGTATAGTAATACCACAGTTACAACTAACAGTCTGGATTTTTACTTATGTACAGGTACAGAATCTTTTATTTAGGTAAGTAGCATTAGACTTATGTTTATAAACTACTTCACTTGCTTGTAACATACCTGTGACAATGCCTTCAGTTACAAGACTTAAGTAAATGTGAATACACCCAAATATAAACATATTTGCCATTTATAACTTATAAATATTAACATGTGGGTAGCAGAAAAGGGCAGTTTAATTTCTTTATACACACAGAGACATTTGTGACATTTTAATGTCGGCTTCAAAGGCAGCCTCAGGTAAAGACATGACTAAGCAACATTTCTCACTTTAGACGTTTGCAGATTTTGCAAACTGTTAAACTGCTTTACTTCAACCTTTAAAAACTCATTTTCACCTAAGGAAAAAAAAACTGGCAGGTAAATGTTATTAAGCAAGTATCAAACAGTGGCTGAGAAAAGTAAAGTTAGCTGTTATGTTAATTGACAGCAATTAGGATTCCACTGTGCTCACCTGATGTCATCCTCATTGGCAAAGATAATGACCACTCGGGCATTAGGGTTCTCACTCAGCCTGCGGATGATCTTGTCAAACTCTCCAGTTCTTGGTTCTCGTGGTATTTTCACAGACTGTGAAATACACAGACCACCTAATTGGAAGACAAAAGAGAAAAGTTTAAAAGACAAAAAAAAATGTATTCTTCTATAAAAGATCAGAACAGATCTCATTATCTGAGATTTTAACTTCAACTGTATATTAATGCTGCAGTTTCAGGTGAGTCTTTTTCAAACTCGTGGTCACCCAGAAATATCTGTTGAAGTCTTCTTTTTTTTTTTTTTTAACTCACACAAATCTGTTTCAGTCCTTGGGACTTTTTTTTATGATAGATGCACTATTAAATGTGTACAGGTGCAATATTTCACAGCATGAGGGATGTAAGGTATTAAAAAAAATCTTTCCTTGGACCACAAGGGGCAACTTTAAGACATGGAGACCCATCAATTCAGTTTATGGTCCTGTCAGTGAGGCCAGGGGAATTTGGAAGTACATACATTTTCTAATTGAAAACTGGTTCCATTTGTTTGGAGTCATTTTCTTATTACACAGGTTGTTTAATTTTGTTCAAACTAGTGTTCACTAAATTTCTTCTTCTAAATTCTGGTTCTTGACTGAAGCCATCTTTGAAAGAGAGAGAGAAAAGGAACTTGAAATAATTAACCTAAATTTCCAGTTTAATCAGTCAATTGATTACATGCTGGTATGCCTACAGTATTGTCCAATAAAATTGATTACTTTAGTTTACCTCACTGGCCAGCACAATACCTACACCTACAGCAATTCCCCATGCATCAATATAAAGAGAGTCCTCACCCATAGAGATGCTCTGGTACTGAACACAAGTCTAAAGACAGCAGGGGATGTCCCCTGGTTACCAACAAGCCGAGGCTTTTTAATTCCCAATGCAACATTTCAGGATAACTGTTTTGTCGCCATGCCAAAATGCCACAGAGAGTAAGTGCATGCTAATGAATTTCCCTTTTGTGACCCAAAGCAAAGCCAGCCCAATGAACAATCAATGCAGGACTAATACCCTCTAGTTCAGTTCATAGCAGCCAGACTCGCACCATAAAACAAAGCCTGGCCCCAGCTCAGATACTAATAGGCTGGGAAACTAGAAATATGAGCAAAGAAAAGGGGGATGCCATTAAATTAACAATGATGTTGTGCTACTTTGCTCATGGGGATGAAAAGTCACTTCCGGTTAAGTCAGTGAGGAGCTTCAGTCAGCGGCCTTGCACCATTGTTTGATTGTACACTGTAGATGAATTTAATGATGTTTCTTTTTTCTTCAAACCCGTGGTTTCGCTATTTTACTCAGACAGTTTTTCCAGAAAGGCTGTGTGTTTAGGTTTCTTGTGATCCTGCATGTCACAACTACGACACGACAGTCCTGGCTTATACATTCACTTGGCTGGTTAATGGATTAGCAGTTCCGTCACTAGAGAAATAGACTCATTCCTTTGTGTGTACTGGCCCATGTCTTGTTATTGTGTGTTGTAGGGGGATATTTCCATGCTTTCACCTCAGACATACTTCAGACTAGTTGTACACTTTTTTTTTTTTTTTTAAGCTTGCCCCAAGGGTGACATGCTAAGGTGGAGATGGAAAAGTAAGGTGAAAAGACACGATCTAATAATAAAACATTGTTTGAGGTTTTCCAACTATGAGGAGAGTTGAAGGGAGGGTGCAGGGGAAGGAGACGTGAGACAAAGATATCCAAAGAAGGGAAACAAGTGTGTATCCCTTTTGGCTGCTCAATCTCAAAAATTAAATCACTTCAAAAGTGGAAAAAGGTGACACACCATTGAAGCAAAAAATACTTGTAGAACTTCAAATTTTCATAGCTATTTTCAGCCATAGGCCTTCATCAGAGCATGAAGAGTGTTAGCAAAAAGGTGCTTATATACAAGACAATCAAGGCAATGACCTGATTCAACACAGGTGTGCAGCAGAACACTTTAGTCTACAGAACAGAAATACAAGAACACAATACAAAGAGAGGTTTTAAAGTAAAGTTATCATTAAGGCTTTTTCTTCACCATAGTGAGGCAAAGACACGGTGTGAGGCGCAGTGTTAGACTTTGTCATTTTTCCTTTTATCCTTTAATTGTGAAAGACCTTGTAAAGAAGGTTTTGGCTATGAGTGCTGTACACAAAATACTGATCTTCAATGATAGTGACTGAATCTCTGGTACATCAGCGACAGATCAATGATATGTGTGTTATAAATAGCCAGAGCTGTACGTAATGGTAGTGTGCAATGACGACTCCTCTATTGTTCTGTAGCAAAGAACCAGCAATACGACACTCTTTGAAATTGTGCTCCTTGTTTGCCATTCTTCTCACTGAAAGGTGTTAAAACTATTTTTGTAGGCAAAAATATGCAAATGGTGGATTAAGGGCATATATATATATATATATATATATATATATCCATTTTGGACAAACTGTGGGAGTGGAAATGAGACTCATCCACGTGTCCATTTCCACAGTGATTGAGATTTATAAAGCGGAACCATCGGCTTTTTAAATCTGCGTGTGCATATTTCTGTTTCTACGTGTACTGTGAAACTCAGTGTAAGAAACAGTATACAAATGAAGCATTTCTCAGTTGACGGTATTTGTGCATCATTCTACAATCTAAGTGCCTCTCATTGTTGAGTCTTTGATTAAAGTGAGGCAGAGGTTTATCTGTCTACCTCTCAGTGTCATTACACTTACACTACCCAGACAGGCACATGGGAAATTTAGCAGCAGCACAGCAGCAGCTCTCTGCTCTCAGAGACTCTATCAATCATTAGATTCTATGTCTTTGGCTCACTGGTACTTCAGTCCCCCATTCCCCCAACATCTGCTATGTGGAAGCAGAGCACTCATCCCTTGCTTTTCTTCTCCTCTCACATCACTGGCAGAAGGCTGCAGCGTTGCTTAACCTCCGGAGAGAATAGAAAGAGGGCCAGGGGATAAGAACCCAACCTCTGGGAGTTGAAGCACATTCAACAAAGCCCTCCATGAGCCCAGTGTTGTAGCTGTGTTAGTTGAAGGGTGGACACGGCAATTTGTTTTATTGCTAACACCATCCATTCATCCGTGCATCTGTCCATCCGTTCCTCTCTAAGTATAGAATGGTCAAAGACATGGTCCCTTGAGTCACGGACCTCAATTCTAACCCCGTGACAAGGAGCAGCTACTGAACAAGGCATTCAATCCTTACTTGCTCCAGGTATGAAGTGTGTGTGTTTTTTGCCCCCTCTCTTCTGGAGCTAATCCTACACCTTTCCCCAACATGGTTCACTATGTCACATATTTTTTCACAATCAGTTGTTTGCATGCTGAAAAGCCTTTCACACGTGGATTCAGTTATGCCAAGCTGCTCTGAAATTACATTTTAATACAACCTAAGTGGCTTTTAATTGGTCTTGGTAATTATAGGTCTTGCTCATTACATAATTCATATTAATTTTAGCTAACGAAACAAATCTCTTTACAGGAATCAGATTTCAATAAAACGCATTGCAAGATTCCATTTAACCATTGGACAGGATGTAATCAGGGAAATCCACTTTAAGACTCCCCCCTTTCTCTTGTCACCACACAACCTCTCATCAGACTCCCCTCAGACTCAGCCTGACCACAGTTTCCCGCCTACTGTTACTTTGTAAACACAAGAACATAAAGAGAAACGATTATAAAGCAATTAATTACAAATGTGTAGCAGCCCAGAAAAACACCTTACTGTTTGTGTCTCCAGAGACATACAGGATCATTTGTTGATAAAATATAGATATGCATTGAAATTACCTTAAAATGATCTCTGCAGATTAACAATCAGTGGCTTGTTTAAAACCAAACCCAACAACTGGGTTCTGCTTAAGGTGAAAAATAATAGTTCATTAACCTTAATGTTTAGCTAGTTTTCTCATTGTCCTGATGACCTGTTGCATTGTGCCAAAACACTAATAATCTGTCTGTATACACAAGTATGCAAGTGCAAAGTCGAATTAACTGACAAATTGAAGCATCCTTTCGTCTGCATCTACTGCTGAAAACTTCATGAGCAGTATATTTCCCTCCCAACTCTTATCCTATACCACTCTTAGCATCTGAGCCTCGTCTAAAAACCACCTCTAAAAATATCCGTTACTGAGGAGACTGCGAGCCTCCTCTCTCGTGTCTTCCATTGTCAGCCCCAGTCTCTGCTCTCCTAATATCTCACAACACTAATATTCCTTCTCATTTGACACCAGTGGGAGAGACAGTGTTGCCACAAACATGAAATATTCCCTTGCACTGTGGCTGATAGCAGCACAGCTCCCATGCTTGGTGAACAGTAATGCAGAAGCACACAAAATATATCCAAGTGGGCGTTGTGGTGAAAGTGCAGGAATAAAAATAGCCTCTTTATTGGGATGCCCTTAGTAGAAATACCTACACAAGCAGGCATCATTCCCAGCTGAATAACATTAATAGCATCAAAAATACAGAGAACTAAAACTAAATTAATGTTTATTCTTCAGTGGCAATAGGCTTAAAGAATAGTCACTTTCTTCAACGTTGAATGAAAACACCCTAGCTGCTAGTATTGCTGCATGGCAGCATCTGATTTATTAGGCAACAGACAGAATTGGTAAATAATTAGAAAGCCTGTGTGAGCCGCACACGCTTTGATTCCCCATCCGCTTTGAACAGCTATGTGGCTCTATCAGTCCACTCATAGTACTGTATATGCTATCTGGCTGCTGACCAGTAGTCTAATGTACAGAACAACGATGCTCGGCCACAGTTGTGTGATCACAGTGGCTCACATTACATAAATATTCTCAGATGAGATCAAAGTAACCCAAAATGTGGGGAACCAAAACAAGGTGACGTGGATAGTACTAAATAGGGAGATAAGTCATATCCCCCACTGATTTAGGAAACTGTATACCAAATGATTTATGCAAATTAGTTGATCAGAGGCTCGCGATAAACTGGCAACCTGTCCAATGTTTTTCTGCCTTTCATCCAGTGCATGCTGGGACACGCTCAGGCCCCTGAGAGGGAGAGAAACTAAATGGGTGGATGAAAATTATTTTAGCCAAGAAA